TCCTGCTGTAGATAAATGTGTTTCCACTGATCAGCTGAGGTTTAAAGCCAAGATGATTTATCCACTCACCAACAACAAGCTCAGCAGTAGAGTCTCTGTGCAGTGTGGGGATGAAGCATCTGTATTTCCCCTTGTCTGAGAGTTTTACTTTGCAGAGTTTCAGTGAAATGTCTCCACATCTGTTTGTTGATGGACACTGATGTTCTATTTACGTAGGACGGATGCTTTTTCTTCTCTAGTTCCACGCCATCACGCATCACATGGATGAATCTAGGATTCAGATCAGGTCTCGTCCACTCTATAGTCATGTCAGTGACGTCCACAGCAGGTTCCAGATGACATGGTAACATGATGTCTTCACCAACTGTCACCACTATTGGCTGCGATGGACCAACCATCTGAGACTGACCTGAAAAGAAATGTTCACGAACATATGGCCTTAACTGTGACAGACACAGATTGATATATTTGATATATTTTTTAATCAGGTTAAACTGGTGTGTCAATGTTCAGAGGACGCAGAAACTCACTAACTGTATCAAGTTAAAGTGCATGTGATCTGACATAAATGTTGCAGGATATTTTATAATGGAGCTGAGTTTTTTGTTTGTAACTGAAATGTTAAGTTGGATCTCATCTGCATATAATGACACATCCCCGATTTGTATAAGCATCAGCTACCTCTAGTGATGGCCAAATGAAGCCTCATGAACCACGTTCTTTATTTTCTGACTCCACCAGATGGCGCTCTTGGTTGAAAGATGAAGGCTGGATGACTGACAGTGAAGTGTGCTTTCAAACCTTTGTTGAACAGACAGCGCCATCCAGTGGTTTCAGAGAATAAAGACAGTGGTTCATGAGGCTTCATTTGGCCATCATTAGCTACTTCCATGTTGGCTCATTCATAGCTGTGTGGCTAGCTGTAAATCATAGCCGTGACTTCACTCTGTGCTTTTTTTAAAACCAGAGCCGTGATGAGGTTGTAGGTGGAGCACTTTGGGAGGCAGCAGAAACTCAACAACAGATGAGGACAAGATGGAACTAATGCTCTGCATGTTTTGGAGGGTCATTAAATGTGGCATTTGCTCCTCAACTTGAATGTTACTGAAATTATCTTTGTGTAACATGAGAACAGTCTGGGGCAAACGTGTTGTGATGTAAGCAGCAGTAATTTGAGATTTGGAAGCGTGTCACTGATATCTTTACCTCTACAACCACATGTTAGGAAAAGAAAGGCAACAGTGTAATGGAAAACCAACGTGCCGATGGCACTGACTCGACGTTTAGAGGGCCATTCATCCGTCAGCAGAGGCATCCTAGAGTTTAGAAAATGTACATTTTCATCTCAATTCATGCAGGAGATTTGATGCAGTGAATATCACCATAACGCAGTTCTCAGATTAATCTGATTTCATTGATTTGGGTTAGAGTAAGCCACGCCACAATTCCTGTAGTGTTGATTCATATGATCATGTGACACACATGTTCTGTCTTTGAGCTATCGGCAGTGTTTTCCTTCAGTCCTTATTCACTCATGTGCACTGCAGGTATCTAACTTTAAATGAAGAACTTTAAAGCTCTGTCGCTTTCAAATTAAATAAGGATAAAACATTGTTTCAGCCTACCTGTTGGCAGCTCAGATGGTCTCCTCCATGCTGAATCTCACTGTAGTAATGTTTAATGTAAAAGTCCACTCAGATCATATGTGCTGTACTGAACTGTGACTGTTAATTTTCAATAAGCACATCTCTGTTGCAGACTGTGACCATTAAAATTGATCAGTTAGAAACATATAGTACCAGAGACTCCAACTGATGAGGATTAACATCTAACTCTCCATCTCGCACCAGCTGGGCGATGGCAGACTCAGGCTGTCTGAGGAACAGGGGTGACAAATAAATAAAAAATAAAAAGGGCACAAGATGCATGAGACGGGGCACCAGCCCGCAGAAAGCTTTGTAGCCTGTGAGGCAAACTGTGGTGCACCGCTTCATGTTTCCTTCACTGTAAGTGCTCTCTAGAGGGCGCTGCTTCATGTTTCCTTCACTGTAAGTGCTCTCTAGAGGGCGCTGCTTCATGTTTCCTCCACTGTAAGTGCTCTCTAGAGGGCGCTGCTTCATGTTTCCTTCACTGTAAGTGGTCTCTAGAGGGCGCTGCTCTGCTTCATGTTTCCTCCACTGTAAGTGCTCTCTAGAGGGCGCTGCTTCATGTTTCCTCCACTGTAAGTGCTCTCTAGAGGGCGCTGCTTCATGTTTCCTCCACTGTAAGTGCTCTCTAGAGGGCGCTGCTTCATGTTTCCTTCACTGTAAGTGCTCTCTAGAGGGCGCTGCTTCATGTTTCCTCCACTGTCAGTGCTCTCTAGAGGGCGCTGCTTCATGTTTCCTTCACTGTAAGTGCTCTCTAGAGGGCGCTGCTTCATGTTTCCTTCACTGTAAGTGCTCTCTAGAGGGCGCTGCTTCATGTTTCCTCCACTGTCAGTGCTCTCTAGAGGGCGCTGCTTCATGTTTCCTTCACTGTAAGTGCTCTCTAGAGGGCGCTGCTTCATGTTTCCTTCACTGTAAGTGCTCTCTAGAGGGCGCTGCTTCATGTTTCCTCCACTGTAAGTGCTCTCTAGAGGGCGCTGCTTCATGTTTCCTTCACTGTAAGTGCTCTCTAGAGGGCGCTGCTTCATGTTTCCTCCACTGTAAGTGCTCTCTAGAGGGCGCTGCTTCATGTTTCCTTCACTGTAAGTGCTCTCTAGAGGGCGCTGCTTCATGTTTCCTTCACTGTAAGTGCTCTCTAGAGGGCGCTGCTTCATGTTTCCTCCACTGTAAGTGCTCTCTAGAGGGCGCTGCTTCATGTTTCCTTCACTGTAAGTGCTCTCTAGAGGGCGCTGCTTCATGTTTCCTTCACTGTAAGTGCTCTCTAGAGGGCGCTGCTTCATGTTTCCTTCACTGTAAGTGCTCTCTAGAGGGCGCTGCTTCATGTTTCCTTCACTGTAAGTGCTCTCTAGAGGGCGCTGCTTCATGTTTCCTTCACTGTAAGTGCTCTCTAGAGGGCGCTGCTTCATGTTTCCTTCACTGTAAGTGCTCTCTAGAGGGCGCTGCTTCATGTTTCCTTCACTGTAAGTGCTCTCTAGAGGGCGCTGCTTCATGTTTCCTCCACTGTAAGTGCTCTCTAGAGGGCGCTGCTTCATGTTTCCTTCACTGTAAGTGCTCTCTAGAGGGCGCTGCTTCATGTTTCCTCCACTGTAAGTGCTCTCTAGAGGGCGCTGCTTCATGTTTCCTCCACTGTAAGTGCTCTCTAGAGGGCGCTGCTTCATGTTTCCTTCACTGTAAGTGCTCTCTAGAGGGCGCTGCTTCATGTTTCCTCCACTGTAAGTGCTCTCTAGAGGGCGCTGCTTCATGTTTCCTTCACTGTACGTGCTCTCTAGACGGCGTTGCTTCATGTTTCCTCCACTGTCAGTGCTCTCTAGAGGGCGCTGCTTCATGTTTCCTCCACTGTAAGTGCTCTCTAGAGGGCGCTGCTTCATGTTTCCTCCACTGTAAGTGCTCTCTAGAGGGCGCTGCTTCATGTTTCCTTCACTGTAAGTGCTCTCTAGAGGGCGCTGCTTCATGTTTCCTCCACTGTAAGTGCTCTCTAGAGGGCGCTGCTTCATGTTTCCTTCACTGTAAGTGCTCTCTAGAGGGCGCTGCTTCATGTTTCCTTCACTGTACGTGCTCTCTAGACGGCGCTGCTTCATGTTTCCTCCACTGTCAGTGCTCTCTAGAGGGCGCTGCTTCATGTTTCCTTCACTGTAAGTGCTCTCTAGAGGGCGCTGCTTCATGTTTCCTTCACTGTAAGTGCTCTCTAGAGGGCGCTGCTTCATGTTTCCTCCACTGTAAGTGCTCTCTAGAGGGCGCTGCTTCATGTTTCCTTCACTGTAAGTGCTCTCTAGAGGGCGCTGCTTCATGTTTCCTTCACTGTAAGTGCTCTCTAGAGGGCGCTGCTTCATGTTTCCTCCACTGTCAGTGCTCTCTAGAGGGCGCTGCTTCATGTTTCCTTCACTGTAAGTGCTCTCTAGAGGGCGCTGCTTCATGTTTCCTTCACTGTAAGTGCTCTCTAGAGGGCGCTGCTTCATGTTTCCTCCACTGTAAGTGCTCTCTAGAGGGCGCTGCTTCATGTTTCCTTCACTGTAAGTGCTCTCTAGAGGGCGCTGCTTCATGTTTCCTCCACTGTAAGTGCTCTCTAGAGGGCGCTGCTTCATGTTTCCTCCACTGTAAGTGCTCTCTAGAGGGCGCTGCTTCATGTTTCCTTCACTGTAAGTGCTCTCTAGAGGGCGCTGCTTCATGTTTCCTCCACTGTCAGTGCTCTCTAGAGGGCGCTGCTTCATGTTTCCTTCACTGTAAGTGCTCTCTAGAGGGCGCTGCTTCATGTTTCCTTCACTGTAAGTGCTCTCTAGAGGGCGCTGCTTCATGTTTCCTTCACTGTAAGTGCTCTCTAGAGGGCGCTGCTTCATGTTTCCTCCACTGTAAGTGGTCTCTAGAGGGCCCTGCATCATGTTTCCTTCACTGTAAGTGGTCTCTAGAGGGCGCTGCTTTGCTTCATGTTTCCTTCACTGTAAGTGCTCTCTAGAGGGCGCTGCTTCATGTTTCCTTCACTGTAAGTGCTCTCTAGAGGGCGCTGCTTCATATTTCCCATGTTTCCTACACTGTAAGTGGTCTGTAGAGGGCACTGCTTCATGTTTCGTGACATCAGCATGTCAGCCTTGTTATTGTGAGCATATTAGCATGCTAACAATAGCATCTAGCTCAACGCACTTCTGTGCCTACATATGTCTCACAGAGCTGCAAGCATTGGTGGAAACTTTTTCTCAGGCCTCGCTGACACTGAAGAAAGTTGTATCAGTTATTTTAGTTTCTTACATGTAAGTCTGCCATGACAGCAGCTCTGTGTCAGAGACAAGGTTTTCAAATTAAACCAAGAAACCTACAGAAGAAATAAGCCACACAGGAAGACAGGTCGAGACATCGCTTCACCTTCTTTTTATACTTAAGTCTGATGCTCAGTCGGCAGCAAGTCAACATGGAGGTCACAGCTCTCTGCGTCACACTGTGTGAGTACTGACTCCGTCTCCACTTCCTGTCACATTTACAGAGACGATTTTAAATAAGATGTGATTGATAAGATACTTTAATTATGGCATCATGAAGGTTTCATGTACAAGAAAGTCTGAGTGACATCTGGCATCATAGATTTGAGTTTTCAGCTTTAAAGGCTGCCCCCCTCCCCCGGCCAGTTACTCCATTTTGGACTATGCATCTAGCAGTGGCTGAATCCTTTACTTCTCCCATCGTGTGTTTAAGAAGACAGAAACTAACAGAGAACATGCATTATTAGTTTCTGTGTGATGTTGAGCTCTGTTCTTTTGTCTCTCCAGTGGTGACTGTGTTTCTGCAGCTCGGTGCACATGCTCAGAGAGTTGGTGAGTAGCTTTGTTTGTGTGTAAAAGCTAAGAAGAAGACACCACTCAACAAACAGTACAGAGTTGTTCCTGTAGTGTTAATTCAATTCAGCTTCTTTCCGTGTGGTTTTCTGTGTCAGATGAAGGTTTCTGGATCATTCCAACCAGACTGCAGCTCTTTGAATATGAGCCTGTCTCCTTCAAATGCATCGGCTTTGATGGCTCGACTGGGTGGAACATTTCAAGGAAGGGCAAAACAGGAATTTCGACTTGTGGTGTTTCCAAGTGGGGGACGTTGATCGAGTCATCCTGCACCATAAGAGGTGCTTTTCAAGATGACAGTGGAGAGTACTGGTGCGAGGCTGGAGGGGGGAAAAGAAGCAACTCTTTGAACGTCATCATCAGCGGTATGTTTAGATGCAAACAGCAAGATTTGTTCTAACTCATGTTTAATGTAAAATCAACATTAAACTTGTGTTGTTCAGCTGGTTCAGTGATCCTGGAGAGTCCTGTTAGTCCTGTGAAGGAGGGAGATGATGTCACTCTGAGCTGTAGAAACAAGACGACCTCCTCAACCCTCACAGCTGATTTCTATAAAGATGGCCACTCCATCGGGAGCAGTTCTACAGGAAATGTGACCATCAACAGTGTTTCTAAGTCTGATGAAGGACTCTACAGGTGCAGAATCTCTGGAGCTGGAGAGTCACCTGAGAGCTGGCTGACTGTCAGAGGTGAGACACTGAGGAGTTATAAGACAAAATCATTTTCTGTTTATTGTTTGATGCTCAGCAGATTGATGAAATGTGTTTGCCTTTAAGGAGGTATAATCTGGTTCAGTGGTTCCCAACTGGTGCAGCTTCAGGGTCCAGATTCACTGTGTATCATGACGTCACCATACTAACTTCCTGTTGTCCGTGCAGCACCTCACGCAGAGACTCATCCCTCGTCAGATCACACGATCCTCATCTTCAGAAACATTATCCCTCTTGTGCTGATGGCTCCGCTGCTGCTGCTGCTACTGGCACTTCTTCACGGTGGGAAACTCAGAGGCAAACAACAAAACCTCAGGTCCACGCAGAATACAATACAAGAGGCTGAATGACAGACAGAGTTTATTAAAAGCTGGTTCTGTTGATAAGATAATAAAGCAGTAAACATCCTGTCATGCTTCATCTGGGTGCTCAACAACCTTCTTGTTTGTCTCTACAAATCTTATTATAAACATTTGATCTGATCGTCAGGGCGCAGTCCTTCAATCTGGATAACAATCTGGTTCTGGTGATCCATTTTATTTTCTTCGATAGATCATGTGATCCAGCTCACTTCTGTCCCAGTTGCTCAAAAAGAACTGGATAGGATCACTCTGATCCAGGTAGTACAGATTTTTAAGGGTTACCAAATCAAGATCAGGAGTACTTTAACTGGGCTTCAGGGGGCGCCAACATCCACACAAAATAAGACATCCTTAATTACCTCCACCAAGGAGGTTATGTTTTTGCCGGCATTGGTCTGTTTGTCTGCAAAATAACTCAAAAAGTTATGAACGGATTTTTTTTGATGATATTAAAGTTGAATGAAATCAGTTGACACAAAGTGGATAAAATAATAAATAAAGTCTATCGTCTAACAGACTAAGCAGCAATACCAATTTGTAAAGATGGTGAAAATATCACCATCTGGTGGCCGGAAAGCAGGTCTAGTTCTACTTGCTAAATATTGTTGTAATTCTAAAGTTGAAATTAATGTTCTGTGTTGGAAAAAAAGAAAGTGAAAAATACAAATACATATATATATATATATATTCTGTGTTGGTACAAAATAAAAATGAAATAAATACACCACCTGTTTCCTGGAATATTTCATGAGCAATAAATTCATTATTTTATCCACAGCCATGTTTACCTCACTCACTCTGTCATGATACAGACACAATAATTCATCTTCACAACACTGAAACATTTTTCAAATGTTGAGGCAGGTCAGCGAGCACAGAGTAATAATAAGTGTTTTTATTTCAAAACTGGAAAAAGCATGACACACTATCTGCACTGGGCTTGACCTGTGGCCGTCACTAACAAAACTCAAAAAGTAGAAAACTGGAAGTGATAAACAGAGTTATGAGAATAATAAACTGCATTTTCACATCACCATATTTACAGTTTCAGGAGTGTATTTCTGTGATAATATATTTTCAAGCATTTATTTCAAATGTTTAATTATGCTGCATTGTGTTTCATACATATATAT